TTAATCGTCTTATGACGAAATTATTCAGGCCATACTGGGCGTATGCACAAACATACTTTGACGACATCTTCGTTCACAGTCGTAGGACAGATGAGGAAAATCACATCGTCCATGTGAGAGCAGTGCTCGAGTGCATGCGCACGAATACGCTGTATATAAATGCATCTTCGGCGCGGAGGAAATCAACTTTTTAGGGTGCTTCATTAGGTAGCGTGGCTTTTGAGCGGATCCCGCTAACGTCAAGTCCATCGTGGACTGGCCGGCTCCAAAGCACCAAAAAGGACTAGCGCAAGTGGTTTCGCCTCGCAAACTGCACAAGTCTAGCAAAAATTGTGCGGAATTGGCACAGCCATTGTCGAATCTCCTTAAGAAGGATACGGAATAGTATTGGGCCACCGAGCATCGGGATGCTTTTGATAGGGCCAAAGACAGCCTCTTTCCTGCACCAATACTGGCGTTGTCAGATCCCGATCGTTATTTTTTGTGTCGTCTGTGACGCTCCCGACTTTGCCATCGGCTGTGTTCTGCTGCAAGCAGACGTCGATGGGTGAGATCGGGTGATCGCGTTTGAATCTCGCCAGCTCAAGGCTGCGGAGACAAACTGCAAAGCTCACGACAATAACTTAGGGATGAAGTATGCACTTGTCAAGTTCGGGGTGTACCTGCTTGGCTCCAAGCCGTTTGTGATCTACATAAATATGCGTCACTACGCACTGCAACTCAGTCGTCACCTCTCCCAGAGAATGGCCTTCTTCGCAGAATATAACCTTGAGGTGAAGTATAAGCCAGGAAAGCAGAATGCTTTGGCTGATGCGTTGTAACGCAGACCGGATGATGAGCTTGCTTATGTCACGACAGTGACGTCGTCAGTGACGGATTTGATACACGCCGCATTCGCGGGTGATGGTATGTTTGTAGCGCTGCTTCAGGCTATCGGTAGCAAAGAGTTTAAAAATTCAGACAAGAAATCGTCGGCGCGTTTGCGCGCGCCGTTACACGGATATTCGTCGAATTACGGTTTGCTGTACTATAGCACCGATTCGACGGATACGCCACATACTGTGGTTCCTCACGATGAGGATGTGAATACCGTATTCTCAAAGAGTCTCACGACACCCCACTCTGTGGTCATCTTGTTCGTGAGAAGACATACAGCTCGGAAAGTTGCCACTATTGGTGGCCTAATCTGCACAAATGGACGAGTTTTAATGCGCGCACATGCGAGAAGTGTCAAGGGTGAAACCCTATCCGAATGCGGCAGCGCCGCTGGCCAGTTTGTCGGTATCCGCCGGGTGTGTGCAGTCTGCCGAAGGACTCGGCGTACAACAAGGGTGTGGTGGTCTTTGTGGGCTGTTTGAGCAAGGTGCCTCATCTTGCGGCACCATCGACGGTGTGGGTACAGCGACGCTCTTTGCCGATCGTGTCT